TGCCACTAGGCCACCAGAGCTCCCCTGTGTGCTATTTCTTTTCTTTTTGCATCATATTCTTTCCATTTTATTTTTTTTCTCATTCATTCATTGTGCACATGTTCGTCCCTGCCCACCCCTCCCCCTCAGTTCGCTTTTCTCTTTGAAAAGATAAAAAAAAATTCTTTCATTGTTATACAATTCCCCCCCAAGTCCACAGTCCACTTTACTATGCATTTCTTTTTCTAGAATCTTGTAATGAAAATAATACCTAATCATATATCCCTTTTAAACAGTTCTCTCCCTCATCTGTTTCAATACAGGATACATTATTTATTCCCTCTTCTCTTAGGTTCCTCCCAACCCCTACATCAGTCCCATTTTACAAGAGTGGCTCTATGCAGTATTTGACCTTTTGTGACTGAGATATTTCTCTCAGCATAATATCCTTCAGGGTTATCCATTCTGTGTATTTTATGAGTTCCTTGTTTTCAATGCAGCATAGTATTCCATTGTGTGAATATACCACAGCTTCTCTAGCCATTCATTTGTTGATGGGCACTTGGGTTGTTTCCAGCTCTTTGCTATAGTGAACAAAGCCGCAACAAACACGGATGGTCCAAATGTGTGCTATTATTTCCCGACAGGCACCCACTGGATGATTGAGATTCTCAGCTTAATCCTGAAGAACGGGGACCCCTCGTGGATCCGCTCGGTGCCCATATGGGAGCGCGCACCCTGGTGTGAGACCATCATGGGCGCCTTCAGCCTCCAGGACCTGCCCAGTCCTCGCCTCATGAGCTCACACCTCCCCATCCAGCTTTTCCCCAAGGCTTTCTTCAACTCCAAGGGCAAGGTGCCAGGAGGGAGGGGCTGCTGTGTGTGTCATGGGGGGGCAAGGGGTCACTTTCAATTCATTAACTTAACACATGTTTAGGAAGCAGCCAATAATACATCCTTGAGAATCTTAGTCTCCAAGACCTGCTGTAATAGCAGTACTGCAAGAAGGTGGTTTTGACAAACAGACATTTCTTTTCTTGTTGTTTAGACCCCCAAGCCAAACCCAATCCATCTAGATTCATAGCAAGCTCTCTAGCACAGAGTAGAACTGCTCTTTGGGAGTAAGAAGAAACCGTCTACTCCCATAGATATTATACCACACCTTTTGCCTTTGCATTGATTCTGACTTGAGGTGACCCTTGCATTGCCAAGGCTGGGCATGTTTAGAGGCTGACCAGGCTCGTTGAGATCCGGCCCCAGTGAGGGAGCTGCTAGGAGTTTTAGGGGGGATTGGTGGCAGCTGACCTGCTGGGTCTTAGAGCAGGAGACAGTTGTTGGGGAGGGAAGCCACGCTGGGCTGCATCACGGGGAAGAGGTAGAGGGTTGATGGCTTGAGGAAAGTCACAATGCTGGGAGACACTGGAGGTAGGTCATCATGGCCTTGATCACTTCTCGACCATTTGGCTGAGAACAAATGAAGTACAGGTAGAGTATCAGATCCCAGCCGCCGGGGCACTGGAGAGCCCAGGAAGGGCTCCAAGCAGAGAGAGGCAGGGTCAGCTCTCAGCTTAGAAAGACCTTTGAGAATTTGTGGAGGGTAGGAGGCAGATTTTTCCTGGAGAGTGTTAAACCAGGCTTCTCCTTGGAGGCAAGGGTTCTGAGGCTTCGTCTGACATACTTTGGACATGTTGTAAGGAGGGACCGGTCCTTGGAGAGGGACATCATGCTTGGGAGGGTGGAGGGACAGCGCAGGAGGGGAAGGCTCTCTATGAGGTGGATTGATTCAGTGACTGGGGTAATTGGGATGGGAGTGTCAGAGACAGTGCGATTGGCACAGGACAGAGCAGAGTTTAGGGCTGTTGTACATAGGGTCGCTATGAGTCACAAGCAACTCAATGGCACATAACAACAACAACAACAACAGGAAGCCAGGGAGCAGGCTGGGGTGAGAGAGAATCCAGGCAGGAGAGAAGGATGAGCTTTGTGAAGAGATGAGAGGCAGGCTTTGCTTTTGTCTTGGTGTGCACTTTGCACCCTAATCTTCCCCATCCTAAACTCCATGCCCTCCTCCTCCCATTTGTCCCCTGAAGGCACACTCTCTCTTGGCATGCCACAGAAACTGATTCCTAAAAGGTAGTTGAAGGGAGCCCTCCCCAATTGCCTGGGTGAGATTATATGACCTGAGTACTTTTATCTGGGAAGTCCTCCGAAAAGTCTACCCTGAGTCCTTCCTGCTGCAGAGTCAGAACACAGGGGACTCAAGGATTTTGAGTCCACCTGGGACCGACATCACCTCCTCCTCACCACTCTCCACACACAGGTGATCTACGTGGGCCGGAACCCCCGCGACGTGGTGGTCTCTCTCTATCACTACTCCAAGATAGCTGGGCAGTTGAAGGACCCTGGCAAACCAGAACAGTTTCTGCAGGACTTCCTCAATGGTGAAGGTGAGGACTGGGTTTCCAGGGGTGGGGGGTCCCAGGAGTAGGGAGACCACTGGAGTGGATAGAGACTGGTGGAACCCTAGAGACAATGGCCTTTGCCACCCTTCAGACGAGGAATTGGACTCATCCCCAGGATTCAATTTTCAGCCAAATAACAGACAGATCAATAAGGTAGATGATGGAAGCACCAAAAAGAGATGAATTCCTTTGAATAATCAGCCATTTGGGATAAAAATAGTAGCATTTGTACAAAGAAAGAGTTCAGAAGGCAGGAAGGGATGGAGAAAAGGAAGAATGGAAACAGGAGACACAGGGAGGAAACAGGAAGAGTGCTGTTACACTATGGCAGTGCTGTCAATATTATGCACCAATATGTGTATAAAATTGTGAATGGAAGGTTGATTTGCTCTGTAAACTTGCACCCAAATTGCAGGAAAAAGTTTTTTTAAAAAAAAGGACAAAGAAGAGACAAAAAGGCAGAGATATAAGTGCTAATGAGGGAGAGAGAGACACTGAAAGACAGACCCAGAGGTGCTGGAGAGACTGAGAGATATACAGTCAACAAGAGACAAAGAAAAGGACAGAGAAAGAGGTAGAAAATGCAAAAGAGAGACAGACATACAAAGAGAGAAAGACTGAAGAGCAAGCTAAGAAAGTCACTCTGGGGCAGGCGGGGTGGGGGGGTGTCCCAGTTTGGCCTCTAGGAATAAAGTGCACAAGAGAAAGAAATGGGATTCAGGATGGGAGTGATCAAGGTGCCGGGTGTTGGCCAAGCAAGAGTTAGGGTACCAGTTACTAAAAATGATAGGGCCCCTCAGGGGCCTGAATATGTCTCTTTTTCTGTTCTTGTCAGACCTTCTTGCTCTGAAGGGTCCTCCAAGCGGCTGGAAGGGGCTGGAGGGACCAGCCACCGCTACAGCTTGGACAAAACTGGGGGATGGGTGAATGAGCGAGATACTAAACTTGGTTGGGGATTTGGGGTGCTTAGAGAGTCAAAGAAGGGGCATCCAGTTCTGAGCGGCCAGCCTGGGCCATGGGGCGGGGGGAATGCGTGAGACTCCACAGAGCCCTTAGAAGGGGTGACCCATCTGCAAACCCTCACCTTTGCTGGCCGCTTCTCCCACAGTGCAATTCGGCTCCTGGTTCGATCACATTAAGGGATGGATTCGGATGCGGGACAAAGAGAACTTCCTGTTTCTCACCTATGAGGAGCTCCATCAGGTGAGCTGCAAAGGCCCCCACTCACCCTTCCACATCCCTACCTTCTTCCCATCCCAGGGAGGGTGCCCCCCCCCCGAGGCTGCCTCCACCAACCCACACACCCCAGGGATACAGCAGGGAACAAAGCAGAGCCCCTGTGCCGGGGAGGCTTCTAGAACACAGGGTGGACCTTGGGATGCATACAGGTCCTATTAGCTGGTGAAACAGCTAAGAAAGCCTGGGTGAGGAGGTGAAGGGGTAAGCGTGGTTACAAACACGGTGGCTGGGAGGTCACAGATTTGGGCTAAAAGCTGAAGAAGGTGGGGAGCAGAGGATGCCCCGGAGGTATGCAGGGAAGGGTGTGCTTCAGGCAGAGGGAACAGCAGATTCTAGAACAGTGCGTGCAGAGGCCCGGGGCAGAGCAGTGTGCTTTACACGGGCAATGCTGGCCATTCTAAAGGGGACAGCTGAAACCTATCCAGCCGAAGCAGAAAGGCCTGGAGATAGGCTTTCTCCTAGAAGATCCTTCCCGCTATGGTTGTGTGCCAGAAAACCAGTTCCCACTCACACATCCCCACAAAGCAGAGTGCAACTGCCCCTGATGGATTCCTAGCCTGTAGTCTTAAGGAGAATGATGCCTGGAAAGTCTACCAAACACTAAAAAACCCCTCACTGCCATTGAGGTAGAGATGAATCATTGAGGTAGAGCCAAGGAGACTGTTTATCTTTCTCCAGCAGGGCAAGCTGGTTGGGGGATTTGAACCACTTGCCTTTGGATTAACAGCACAACTCGCTAACCACTCAGCCAACACAGCTCCCTTAAAAAAACAAACAAGCCTAAAACCACAGACATCAACTTGTTTTCAACTCTTCCTCCACTGAGTGTCTGAGGTTGTAATTATTTTTTAATTCATTTATTAATTTTTATTTTATTATTATATAGTGTTCACAGTTTCAGTTTGCTTGGCTCCACGGTCAACACTCTTGACACAAGTATCCAGGAAATAAAAAAAAACGTATTGTGACAGGAAAGTCTGCGGTTAGGGACCTCTCTAAAGTACTCAAGAGCAACGGTGTCTCTCTGGAGACTTAGGTGCGCCTGATACAGGCCATGGTTTTTGCAATCACTTGTTATGCATCAGAGAGTTGGGCAATGACTAGGGAGGATAGAAAGAGAATTGATGCCTTTGAGCTGTGGTGCTGGAGAAGAGTGCTGAATGTACCATGGACTGCCAAGAAAACAAACAGATTCATCCTAGAGAGGGTTAAACCAGGCTGCTTCTTGGAGGCAAGGATTCTGGGGCTTTGCCTGACATACTTTGGACATGTTGTAAGGAGAGACAGGTCTTTAGAGAGGGACATCATGCTGGGTAGAGTAGAGGGACAGCGCAGGAGGGGAAGACCCTCTATGAGGTGGATTGATTCAGTGACTGGGGTAATCGGGATGGGTGTGTCAGAGGCAATGAGATTGGCACGGGATAGAGCACGGTTTAGGGCTGTTGTACATAGGGTCGCTTTGAGTCGCAAATGACTCAACGGCACATAACAACAAACAACAACGTGTGTGTGTGTGTGTGTGTGTGTGTGTGTGTGTGTGTGTGTACCATCAAATTGGACCTGACCAGTGCAGGAGGAGATTGTCCCTCCTTCTCCAGCAGAGCATCTGGTGGATTTGAACTTTGCGCCTCTGGGATTGCAGGGCAGCTTCTTGCCACTAGGCCACCAGAGCTCCCTGAGGCTGTAATTGTTTATACCAGAGAGCAATTTGGAGGCAAAGCTTCATCTCTCATATTTTGGACGGGTTCCTAGAAGCTATTGCTTGGAGAGGGACAGCATGCTTGGAAAGATGGAAGGTGCCGGTGAAAGAGAGGCAGACCCTGGACGAGACAAGTTGATACATTGACAATGGGCTCTAGTGTGTTGTGAGGACGGCAGGGGACAGGACAGGGTTCAGCTCTGTCGTTCATAGGGTCACCATGAGTCATACCAGACTTGAAGACACCTAACAACAACAAAAACCGACAACAGCAATTCTTTCTTTAAAAATTAATTTTAATGAAGGTTTACAGAGATTTTGGATTTCCATTCATTTCTTGTTGCACTTTTCTCCCTGCCCACCCCTCCCCCTCAGTTCGCTCTTTTCTTTGTAAAGTAAAAGAAAAATTCTTTCACTGGTGTACAATCCCCCCACCCCAAGTACACTCCACTATGCAGCCTTCATTCTGGACTCTTTTCATAACCATAATACCCAATCATATATCGCTTTTAAACTGTTCTTTCCCTCATCTGTTTCAATTCAGTATACATAATTTATCCAGTTTTTCTCAGTCTCCCCCCAACCCTGATGCCAGTCTTGTTCTACAACAATGGCACTATGCAGTATTTGTCCTTTTGTGACTGAGCTATTTCACTCAGCACAACGTCCTCCAGGGTCACCCATTCTGAATAATACTGCATGAGTTCCTTGTTTTTCAGTGCAGCATAGTATTCCAATTCTTTATGGGAGGGAAATACTCATCTTTCTCACCATGTTGCAGCTGGTGGATTCAAACTGCCAGACTTTTGGTCAGCAGCCTGTTACATTTACCTACTAGGCTGCCAGGGCTCCTGAAGATTACAGCTTTGAGAACTCTCTGGGGCATTGCTGCCCCACTCACAGGGCCCCAGATCATCTCTATGGGAGCAGATCAACAGGCTCCCTGTCTTGGAGTTTCAAAGGTCCCAAGTCACTGGCGATGTGAATAGCAGCCAAGCGTTTAATCAGAGCTCCTTTCTCTGAACAGTCTAACGTGACAGCTGTAGCCCATGAAGCAACAGGTCTACACAGTGACACTCTGGGTCACCCTTGGTGAAAAATCAGATCAAAACCAAACCCACGGGACATCAAGCCATTTCCCACTCCTCACGACCCTGGGGGACAGAGCAGAACTTCTGCATCGAGTTTCCAACATTGTAAATATTTACAGAAGCAGATAGGCTCGTCTGTCATCCATGACGCAGCTGGTAGATTTGAACTTTCGATGTTTCAGTTAGCCACTGACTCTCAGTCCACTGCGCCACCAGATCTCCTAGCTAACAGCCGTGTTTGCATCAACCCCATTTTACAGAACAGAAAACTGAGGCTTAGTGTTTGCATCAACCCCATTTTACAGAACAGAAAACTGAGGCTT